GAACACCAACACCACATAAAATGCATGTATAACAGCGGGTACAGTTGCACTTTATCAAACCAGTTTATTTTTCTATATTTGCTTTTATTGTCTTATTTTGCTTTTACGAAATGCAGTGCTATTTTCTTTATTAATAAATGTCGGAAAGAGACTGATGGCATTTCAATAGGTCAAAATGTAAAGGAATAAACTGCAATACAAACTTGGTCACAAACTGAACGCACAAGTCAAGGTTAGCAAAATATTAAAAAGCAGCCATTTTCAAAGAGAATGTATTTGACCAAGTAAATGTGATTCCGTACAAGAATGAACCAAACTTTGTTGTTCTTTTTCGGCTTTTCGAGACTCGGAGAGAAGAAAAGTGAGAAAGCATCGTGAGACGGGCAGGCATGCGACTAAGTCCCCCACCTTCCCACACGCACACACAAAACAAAGATGCGCGCGCACACACACACACACACACGCACGCACGCACGCACGCGCACGCGCACACACACACACACGCACGCACGCGCGCACGCACACACGCGCACACACACACACACACACACACACACACACACACACACACACACACACACGCACGCTCGCATTCATCTGCACTCTTGGCCCCCACGCGCTGAGCCGAGCGGCAGTTTCAGCCCATTGGAGCGGCACAGGGCAAAAGGGGGAAGGGGAGGGAGAGGAGCGGGAGTTGCTGCAGGGGGGGTTGCGACGACGGGAGGGGGCGGCGGTGCACAGAGGGCGAGAGGGCGGCGAGGCGGAGGGACGGGGGAGTGTGTGGGGGGGGGGGGGGGGGGGGGGGGGGTAGTGCTGGAGCGGCGCTGGGAGGTCAGTGGTGGTGCAGTCAAGCGTGCCAACGCGCCTCTCACGCTCCCCTGTCCCTCTTGTCTCAACCGCACCCCCAACCCTCCCGACCCACCCTCCGCCCTTCGTTCCCCACCACCTCCATCTCCCTCATTCTCCCGCCGCCTGCGTGTTTGGATTGGACCGCCGAGACCACCGCGGGGGAGCTTTCCAGACAGGTTGCTACTGGATCTCTGAGATGACGGAAGTGGAGGCGAAGACTAGGTTGCATCACAAACACGCCTAAGATGTGTTTCGTGACATGTAACGGCGCAATTAATGAAAAACACCACTAAAACGACACCTCCTCGAGGTTTAAACAAGCACTTTGATGAGGTTGAGTCACGCACACGCTCACACCACCTCTTCGGAACGCAATCATTTGGAATCATCAGTTACGTCGTGCAAAGGGAGCCAAGATAAACTGCCCTCGTTTATCTGTCGCCGTTTTAATTCATCCACCCTTTATTTGACTTTCCGTCATCTTTTATCATGACGAAAAATCAAAAAGTTGTTCATACAATAGGGCAGTTAAGGCGTAATCATGATCACGTGTTATTTCTATTACCTTGCTGACAAACGGCAAATTTTACTTCCTTGTAGCCGTTCCGAGTTTTCTTGTCGGAGCCTGTTGCCATAACGTGTGTCAGAAGATGAGAAAGTGCGCGAGGGCCTAATTTGACGTCACGACAACTCGTGGAAGTCACACGTTGCAGCAAAATGCGCCCACGGGTGTTGGGAAGAAGAGTTTTCACAATAACTCTTGGCTTTTATGATGAAAAAACGAAAAGCGCCGAGCGATCAGAAGGATCCTTCAACTTATTTCACCTGTCTGAAATACTGAGCAACACAATGGGAAGCTCGCACAATTTGTTCATTCATGCAAACGTGGACTTGCTTTTCAGTCCATACAGCGTGTTTGCGAAATTGCACACCAGTTTTAGCCAATTCTTACCCAACTCAACTTGAATGAATTTAAGAGGAAAAAAACAACAACAAGCGGATGTTTGCAACATGTCTGACACATGTCGCCATTACGATTGATCTCCATTGGCGTGCTAAAAGGAGCACATCCTTGGAGTCTCACTTGGTCCGAAAGTGCACAAACATATTCCACGTGACCACAACTCTGCGCACTTTTCTCAGCCAAAAGCCTATTCTGGCGTTACCATAGCAACGAAGCTTCAGCAACACGCACGCAAACAGCGAAACCCGGCGAAGACTCCACCTCACGAATGAGCTTTTATTTTGAAGCACAACAGTGTTTGCGGCCCGCTTCCACAGATGTTTGTGAACGTGTGGATTTAATTCCGTTTTGCAAAGGCGGGAGAGGGAGGGAGGGGGGCTGGGGGGCATGATTGGGGAGGGTGGAGGGGGTCTTTATGAGCCAGAGGAGGCGACTGTAATTTCCTCCCATCCTCCGCCAGTTCCGTTGAAATAACAGAGTTGAGGAAGCCGAGCTCTCCCGGGAGGAGACGCAAACACACGCATGCACACACAGCTTGCTAATCAGCAGGCCACCTTGGGCTCACCCCCCCACACACACACATACACACACACACACACACACACACACACACACACACACACACACACACACACACACATAAAAGTGAACAAACACCACATTTAGAGTGAGGGCCATAGGATTAAACCACCGCAGGAAAGTTTCTGTCTTTTATGGACCCATTTATACCGAATAGACGGCATTTAATACGTCCATTAAACAACTTCAACATCTGATGATCACACATGAGGCTAGAGAGGGGAAAAAGCATGACAATCAACAGCCTATCAATCACTCAAGTGTGAACACATGACGTTACACATATAATTTAATCACTAACTGTCAACCGTTTGTGTGCCAACATGACAAAGAGCTCCAGTCGGCGCTGACGCTGCAATTATCTTGCACGAGGCCTGAGCAGACAGGTGGAACGTCTTCCAGCTACCAGCTGCCCTTTTTTTTTTTTTTCCTTTTTACAAAAACTCGCCTCATGCCTATAGCGAAGCGAGATCACTTAAAGTTCAGCTGTCAAACTTTCAAAATAAATGTCTGCATGAGGTAATTTGTGTCAGTAGGCAGGCATATAGTGTGTGAGAGGGAGGGAGAGATGTAGGGACGGACGAAAGCGGCGAGGGAGGGTTGGTGTGGGTCGGGGAGTGCTGGCTGCCATGCCCTGAGGGGAGTCAGAAGGGAGGGGTGGGGTGGGGGGGGGGGCGAGCAACGCCATAGAGGCCATACAAGCCCCGCTGCCTTCCCTCCGCCGTCTCACCCTCGCCGCCCTCGCGTGAAACTGCTGACATTCTTAGCCTGCGTGTGAGTGTGTGTGTGTGTGTGTGTGTGTGTGTGTGTGTGTGTGCGTGTGCGTGCATGCACACAGTGCACGTGGGTGTCCTAAGGCGTCATGGTGGTATTCAGTCGCCGGGTTAAACTTCAGGCTTCACCGCCAGACGAGGAAACGAGGACCATAACAACAACAAGCTCCGGGCCCTCGTATCCCCCCCGCTTACGTCAATAGCAACGTTTCACTCCATCACGTCTGCAAATGGAGGTTGAAGAATACGTGCCGAGACAAGCCAAAAAAAAAAAAAGCCGTTCGACGATAACCTTCCACTTGAGTGTAAACACATGCAAACATATTGAGATGATCAAATCCTCGGAAAAAAAAAAAAAAAAAAAATCAGACTGCGCATCTGGTTTCCCATCCCTTACCTTGATCAGATAATTGGTTTGGGCCGAGCTCTGTTTTTGGGGCCGAGCTCTTGTGAAAATGTCGCCAGTTTACCTGTATCACTCAAACACCTCCGCCTTATCTAAGGCGCCTTCGCCTTGCGTGTCTCACACACAATAATCAGCGGTAGCCACACTCAGAAGCTCGCTAAGCCTCTTACACCCTTCCCTCAAGATTAGGGCTGGGGGAGCGACAACAGATGCACGCCGTGGTGATGAAAACACACACATGCAGACCCACAACTCAGCGCACCTGTGTGAACAGATCTGCCGTGCGCGCGTGTGTGTGTGTGTGTGAGAGAGATCTTGCGCAAAGCTGACACCCAGAGAAAGCCGATGCCGTAATCGTGACACATCTGCGGGGCCTCCAGGTTTGGCGTCGGCCCCCGAGTCAAGCCCTGGGGGACGGAGCGGGCAAACAAGAGCTTGTCAGCCAGGTGACGAGGCTGACTGAACGGTGACCGCCAGTCGACGCAAAACACGCACGCACACGCGCGACGCCAGACAGCTCGTTGTCTCTGGATAAATGGCTGTTTGATGCTCGGCGTCTTTGAAAGGCTGGAAGTGCATTCGCTATTCACGCTGAGAGAAAATTACTGTCAAATCTGTCACAGTGTGCCTGTAGGGTCTTCGGCGGAAAGGTTATAAACAAAGGCAGCGCTCCCAAAACACGCTTACCCATCATGCAACGGCGCGACAACACAAACACGGCAATGAAATATCTCTTGTTGCTTTCTCACACAAACTGCATCGGGTGGTCTTTAATTCTCGTTGTCAGTAACACTTAAATTTGCTCCACGTTTCCTTCGCCTTTTCCGAGGTGTGCTGTCACACTTTTTGGCAGCCTTCCGTTTACTAACAACATTGGAGGGAAGCACGGCTGTCCACTCGTTGGTTGACAGACAGGTCATTTTTGGTGAAACAAGATGTGTACAATGGGAAGAACAGAAAGTATATTTCCGAAGCATCTTTCTTATTTCTGGACAACATCAGCACTGAACCTTGTCATGCTCCTCATATTTGTCAAATTCATTCGTGGGACAAACTGTGACCATAGCTGACAAAACTGTCTTGATCCCACCTCCACACACGCGGTGGAAACACGAGTCAAGTCAGACTTTACCAATGCCGACTTCTTCATTGGCCAACTGAACGGTACAACTTTGTAGAAACATCACGTTCAAGGACAAAAACCATCTGAGAATACAAAAAAAAAAAAAAACTGGGTGACTTGCCTGAGTTCTTGCATTTGTCCTTAATTTAAATGAGCCACATCACAAGTGAGCTAAATTCTTCATATTCCGTGCAAACACGTTCAAAGCAACTATCAATGGACCCAATGTAGCTCGTCGGCGTCAGTGAGAAACACACACAAACAATGACAACAACAAAAATTTGACGGAAGATGAAATATCCTTACCACGGGAGAGGAGATTCGGCAACCCGGACAATCGCAGATTGGAGGATGCACCTGTAAGATTCCTTTGGACATGAGAGTCTTGAGACTTTTCCCTGCAACACAAACAAATGAGACACTCCGAGTGAGTGGAAAAGAACAGCAATGCGTTACCTGAACGCATCGCAGCTACAACACATAACATCGGATCAACAGGACTTTTATTTTCTTGTCAGTTCCCAGAAACGTGATGTCATAGCCAGCAGAAGGTTCCCAATGTTGTTATTGCTATTTGCTTGATCACTCCTGGCCGGGGGTGGGGGCGAGGGGGGGGGGTGAACCCCCACCTCCAATACATCTGAATGTGTCACCTCACTCTGTGTTAAAAATGTGTGTGTGTGGTGTGAGTTGGGGGGTAGAAATAGTTGCTTTGAAATCTCACCTGCTTGATGGCGTACCCATCAAAGAAGTCTATCCGAAACTTTTCCAGCCACTTCAACATCCTAGCAAAGTTCGCATAACCCCCCCCTTCCTTAAAATAAAAAACAAAGCCTTTTCATCGCCATGAAAGTTGCTTCACATTTAATTAGGTCCAATTCATGTGTTAACATGAACCTCCCATTCATGTTAACACTTTTATGTTCAGAGGAAAATGAAGAAATATCACACTGGCATCCCCTCAGTATGTTATGGATTAAAAAAAAAAAAAATGCCGTCGGCCAATTCACACCAAATCTATCCAGGATGACACTGACAGCATCCAACCAATCTCAAAACACATACTTCTGAGAGTGGAGCGTAAACATCACCATTGCAGCTTTTGTGGACCGCTTAATATACATTCTTGTTGTAGAAATGGGAAATTTTCAAATCTCTTTTGGTTGATAGTGCCCTCATAAAAGTCGTCGATGCCAAACTTTATAAGCCACACGCCATCTTCGACGTGCTGGCAGAGTTGGCGTACCCCATTTAAAAAAATCAATCAATCAATCAAAACAAAGCCTTTTGTAGCCATTCAAGTCGTTTCATATGCAAATATGACCATGAGGAAAGATTCAGATTAACACTCTTGTTAATTTGTGGAAGCAAAGGAGTGGGCGCAAAACAGCGTGACGTGATTATTGTACCGGACCAGCACTCCCATGGGTGAGCGCACCACAGTTTGGGAATCCCTGGCTGAAGCGTGGGTTAATAAAGCAGTTCTATCTTGAACATTGCAACAGAAAGCCGAGAAAACAACAAAACCGCTTTCATGAAAGTATCACGTGTAGCCCGCTTTACAGCATGGCTTTGGACACAAACCAAGATGAAGAAAAGGAATTTAGTTGTCTCCTTTTCCACTTCAGCCCTGATGAAGAGCCCTCTTGACTCTTCCTTTTGTTAAGTGGAGGAACTTTGTCTTGGCTCGTCACAAAAAAAAAAACTCCATTCGGCGAAATAAAAGTGAGCCTAAACGTGTCCGCTCCCAGTGATGCCACAGCTTACCTTTGTGTCGAATACTCCGTTTCCAGTCTTTGGCTGTCTCCCGGCCACTGACAAACTGGAACTCGTTGGGAGTGAGCCACTCGCCGCGGTATTTAATGGAGGGTCCTTTGCTGCCTTGACAGAGTTTGTTAATATAAAGCAAAGCCTTGTTTTCCCCGCACTCCACCTCGATGCACGGCTCGCCGTTGTCAAAGAAGGGTTGGAAGTCCGGGATGGAGGAAAACCTCTCCAGCATCAAGTCGTCCGTGGCGTGCTGGAGGTGCTGGTGATGCAGGGTCGAGTCGTGGAGCCCCAAGTACGCGCGGTGGTGGGCCAAAATGTGCTCGTAAGGCGGCGGGTGCGGGGTCACCACGGGGATCGCGGCGGCATTTAAAGGGGCCAAGTATTCGGACTGGTTGAAAGCGGCCAAAGCCATGTCGTCGCCGTCCAGGCGCTCCTTCTTGATGGCAGGCATGCCGCTGTTGTGAGCCGCTGCAAGTCGGGAACAAGTGCGGGAAAAGTCAACGTCCGATCCGAGCTGCTGAGCGCGCTCGCCGCCTGTGGGTCGGCCCGAGCCACACTTGGAGACACGCCGCTTGGTTTTACGCAGGGCGCGCGTAGGAGACAGCGGTCTGCTGGAGTTGCCGGATAGATTCCCATTCAGCGGTGTGACGCTCGCAGTGGCGGCAGCGCTCTCCGCCAGCCCCACAGCTTCTTACAGCTTCCTACCTCCCACATGCACCCACACACACTCTCTGCTAATACCTGACATGCTGCGCGCGCCGGGCGCGGACATGATGCTGCATACGGGGATCATTAACGCGCTTCACCCCCAACCGTTTTTCTCCCCCCTAAATGATTTATTGCCTTGGCTTGGACTGGAAATGATTTCTGCGGTGTCACTCGTGTTTCGTTTCGACAGAGTCCGCGTATATCTGTACTCTCGGTATATTGGGTTGCATTTTTGTAACCATAGAGTTTAAAGTTTTGAGGGTTGTTTTTTTTTTTTTTTGTACGGCAGAATGCGCGCGCACACGCGCGTGTGCGCGTCTGTTTGAGTGGAGTCAGGCTGAAGTTCACAGACGCAGACCAAACAAGATTTGCACTCACCGCCTCGTCTCAACTTGGCCCATTTAAACCGCGGAGGCTCCGCGGCAGCCAGCAGCGGAGGGGGGGCCAGCGACGGACGACGCCATGTAGACTCAAATGAAGGACATTTTTAGTCGTCAGCATGAGACAAGTTTGATTTATACACGCAGATGGATGCTAATCTTGATGCAATGCATGCTCACATATTTGATAAAATCACGAACTAATTCTGTTCAAATTAAACTCCTGAACTCACTTCAACATTGTTCGGCAGCAAAGCATTAATTTTCTCGAAATGAAGTTCCCTAATTCACATCAACAAAGTTCCTTGAGACCTGAGATGCCACAACATGGCCTGCACTGCTTTGGCCTGAGCACAAAACAAAAAACCGGAAAGAACTTGTTTTTCACAAGATGACAGAGGATAGGCCCAAATATTGCCCCCAAAATATCTGTGATAGGTGAATTTGTAAATGTTGAACTGTGAATAATTGGAATATGCTGCTTTCCTGAGATTGGAGCCAGCATCACAACTGTTGACTCAGTGGACAATTAAATACGCTACTTTAGATCACTGGTGTCTAATTCAAAATCCGGACCTGTATGTCATTTTGTGTGGCCTGCGCATGCTTGCCACATTTTTTCGTTGACTTCAGAATTACTATCGATTACAAAAATGCTCATGATCACGTGCAGAGGCTATTATGTACTGTTATATCAATAAATAGCTAGCATATTAGCCCAAGTCATTCGTTACTTACATCAAAATATTCATAAGAAAAACATCTACTGTATGTGTCACGGTGCGTGGTGGTGGAGGACCCCAAAAAGCAGGCAAGAGGGAGAAGCAGGGTGTACTTGACAAATTGTATTAAAACATCGAGAAAACTAAATCCAAAACAAACAAAGTATCAAACAAAATCATGACTGAAGCTAAGACATAACAGTGACCGGAACATGACCAAAACAAACCTGACAGCAGCAAACAGACCAACAAACAACAACCCGACACTGAGTAGTCGTGCCGGGAGTCCTTTTAAAGCAATAATTGCATAACGACCAACAGGTGTGCAGCTGCAGGGAGAGCCCTACAGTGCCACCTGTTGGTCACAAACAGAATCATGACACTATGTGATCTCATTAAAAAAAGGTTTTTCTTTATGCCTGTGTAGAAAAGTTGTATATCAGTGTTCTTCCATAGAACATATTTGGGAGGGAACAAGATCTGACGTGCATTACAGCCAAGAGATTTGAATGTAAACAAACACAGTGATGCTCAGCCTCATGAGTAGAGAACATCATGGCTGTTTCATTTAAAATCTGTTTCTGTAAAAGTGACACACCTTTTTTTTGCCTATCGTTCTCTTACTGTTATGAATGTGAACAGAAGTGTAACCTTTATACTCATTCATTATGTCTTAAGAATCCTAACATTCTATCCCAGCTCCATAGTTTTATGTTTTCTACGTTTTTCACATGGTTGGTCTGAAAATGGCTAGCATTGGTTTACTTAAAAAAAATAAGGTACATGTGTACCTAACTGTGACTTATGGTGTACTGCTATGAATAAGTAATAAGTGCAGCAGTGTTATCAGGCTCAGCTGATGAGGCAAGCGGGGGGACTCCATACGTTTTAAAATCATCAATTCAATAATTGACTTGTAGGCTAAAAGATCCAGTCCTAAAAACATTCCGCTTCGTCTGTGTTCCTCAGCCAGTCGTATATGTTGGGCCAAAAGCAGGTGGAACTGGAGAACAGTTCAGAAGATCGGATGCTCAGATTTGTACTTGCGCTGCTGGAAGCATGTTGCCTGAACCTGGGAAGCACATTTGGTGAAAGCACCTTCTCTCCCCACTTTGTGCAGGCACGTTGCCCTGAGCTAGTGGAGCTCGTAAGCAGGTCCACATCTGACCCCCATCAGTGTAGAACCACCCAGGTGGATTCCCCTTCCGACACATGGAATAGCCATTGGAGCAGCAGAGGTGGGGTCCAAAGTACTGTGTGTCCGGGACCCATAAATCAGGCCAAACGGCCTCTGACACACACACACACAGGAAGGAGGCACGCCGCACGGCAGCCGGACGGGTTGCTTGGGAGGGCCGGAGACCACAGCGTGGCCAGATCTGGTAGAAGGCCTGCAGCCAGAACCGGGCAGGCAAAACCGCTGCAGACATTAACAAAAACATATGCCTGCTACCACAGCAAAGATGAAGACAAGACAAGTCTCCTTCTGGACCTCGCAGGCTGTGACGTGTCGAACCAAAGGTGGGAAGAGATCAGAAAGAGACACAAATCAGAGCGCGTGCGGCTTGAAGAATGAAAGCAGATATATTTGGAAATAAACAATAATGTCACTTCCCTCGTTTATGAGTGCACTGAACAGTAGCACTGACATAAATCGCAACCCGCTGACATTTATGGCGTGCGTGTGTTTCTGAATGTGTGCGTGTGTGTGTGTGTGTGTGTGTGTGTGTGTGTGTGTGTGTGTGCGTGTGTGGGTGTGTGTTTTGAAGCAGTCATTTCTAGGAAGAGGAAGACTTCCAGACGAGAAGCTTTGAGGTTCTCCCGCTATCAAACCAACCTTTACCCCAAATGTCAGTGTCGTCACGGAAACTTTAGTCGAGGCGGCGGCACCACCAGGAAAGCCGTGCAGAAAGCAGTCGGAAAAGGCAGCCCCCGTACCCACTCACACACACATACACCCACCCACTTCATGTCCCAAGTTGTGACTCATCCTGGAGGGGTTCCCCGAACCTTTACAATGTCAACGCTTCAACTTTCACATCTTCAGCCAATCCCTTCAACTCATTGCAGACTTTTCCATCACTCTTTCTGCTGTTTGACATGAAGAGAAAACTTTGCTTAACCTTTACTTCTACGAGAAGAAAGAAAATGAACAAAAAAATTCTCGACTTTTACAACAGCGTGGAAGGAATAGACAGACTCTGATGGTGTTTAGTCCACCGCAAGACATCTGACAAGGCTAAGTATCCTCTAGTACTTTATAGTCGTAACGTTCGTCACAAAAATTAGCCAATGCTGTAAGTACTGTAAGGAGGAAGCCATTTTCCACTGCAGCCCCACTTTGCTGGATTTGACGGGTCCCAACTCAAGCAGACCACAACAGCAAAACACAGAAAAGAGAATCCTCCATCTTCCGACATCTTCATCCAAATGCGTTCATGTCATTGAAGTGATCCTATGCCGACACACTCCAAAATAACGATGAGTGCCGGCATGGGATACACAACACACTTGACTGACACAACAGAACTATAGAATGAACCCTCCCAAGGTCAATTAAATCAGTTCCAGGATTGTGCTTGGCCACTGAATTGTTCCTATTTAAAAAAAAAAATATTGACATTTTAAATGAGTAGAAGTAAAACACAGAGTCAATGTGTTATCATGGTAAAATCTTTGTTAACTGTACAAGCAATCTCTTACGTAACGTAACATTCTCAACTGTCAAACATAGTGTCAAAAGTTAACCACTGTATAATTTGATTTGAAAAAAAAAAAAAAAGACAATTACAGGAATGACCTGTGGATGGAATTGGAGAAGGGGAACTGGCTGAAAAAGTGTCGACTTTGGCTTCTAACATTTTTAACTACCGTACAAGTGTGAAAAGAAGTACCTTACAATCATATCCTTAAAAATGAACAGCTTAGAGAATTTTTTTTAAATGCACAGCAAGTGAGAGAACGTTGGCATCGATTGCCCCCACTTCAAACCCCATTAAAAACACTCGTTAGTGCTGCCTTGACGAATTCATTTCATTTATTCCATAACCAAGCTCACAACTCAAAACACTCGTAGATGAAATAATTTTCCATCATTGAAATGAGTCTGAACGCTATTCATCAGCTCCAGCCTCCCAAAAACACCAAACATTTTTCTAATATTTTTTTAATAGGAAAATAGCACTTGATAGTATCTGATGGAAACATACATTATTAGCATAATTGAAGAAAACGTAACGAATGAAACCGTGCATCATGGTTAATTTATTCATTGCGCAGCCCCCTTCTGACGTGTACAAGAGAGATAACGTCACAACTACGCATGAAGCTCCAGTAATATTTGTCACTCTTCACAGAGTGTAAACATTGCGATGCCGAATGTCATTTTTTTTCGTACATCTATGGTGTGTTTGCATTGTGTGTTAGCATTGTGCTAGCAAACATACGTAAGGAAAAGTTACGAGGTTGTTTTAAACACACAATGAATCAATCTCGTTTTTTTCAGTTTAATTTGACAGAAAACTCCATCTGGAGGTGGGAATAAACAGATTGATCTCAAGAGATATTTTGTTTATTTGGTTTTGATTGGATTTAATTTTGTTGCTGTTGTTTTTTCCTCTGTGTCCCTTTGTTTATGTCTTGTCTCCAGGCGCAGGGTGGCCGTCGGGAATTAAGATAAGATAAGATAGAAAACCATGATTTGTCTCACAATGGAGAAATTCCCAATTTACAGCAGCAAAATTATGAAAGGGAGAAAGTAGAAGACCAAAGTATATAAATAAATATAAATATAAAATATAATATACAAGCATATTAAAAATGGGTGAGTGGGGGTGAGTCCAGGTTTTCAGGACCGTCTATTCAATGGCCTGACAA